TCCACTGCTGGTGGGAGTGCAAACTCATACAGCCATTTTGGAGATCAGTATGGCGGTTCCTCAGGAAAATGGGAATTAGTTTACCACAGGACCTGGCAATCCCCCTCTTAGGCATATACCCAAATGATCCACATCCATGCATCAAAGACATCTGTTCAACTATGTTCATAGCAGCACTATTTGTAATAGCAAGAACCTGGAAGCAACCTAGATGCCCCTCAATTGAAGAATGGATAATAAAGATGTGGCACATCTACACAGTGGAATACTCCTCTGCAGAAAAAAATAATGGTATCTTTATACTCGCAGGCAAGTGGATGGCACTGGAAGAAACCATCCTGAATGAGGTAACCCAGTCACAAAAAGAGGAACATAGTATGTACTCACTCATATATGGATTTTAGACCTAGAGTATAGGATCACTAGCCTATAATTCACACCACCAGAGGAACTAGTATACAAGGTGTATTCTAAGAGATTCATAAAAAGTCCTTCACAGAATCAGGAAGGCACAAGTCCCCCAGAGCACAGGGGAAGTGGGGGGGCAGTGAATGGAGAGAGAAGTAGGAGAAAGCGAGGGGGAGGAGAGGAAAACATGTGCGACTAGGAAGATTGAGTCTGGGTAGGAATAGAAGACAGGAGAGAGAGAGAGATACAGAGAGAGAGAGAGAGAGAGAGAGAGAGAGAGAACATAAAAGAGGGAGCCAATATTAGTTTTAAGAAAATATTGAACCCAAAGGAAAGTCCTAGAGAACTACAAGACTGCTGTCAACTAACAATTTGAGCATCCGTGGAAAGGCTACCATGACATGAATGCCCTTCCTGGATTGAGATCAACAACTAACTTATCCATGGAGCCCTCATCTAATACCTGTTGGAAACAGGAGCAAACACCCATACATAAACACTGAGTCGATCTAGAACCCAGATGCAGATGGAGAGGACAAGACCAAGCTGCAGACACGCATAGAGACAGCTGACCTGAACTAGGAGGAGATAATGGGCACCCAGACTGATATCTGGGAAGCCAGGATGGTACTGACTTAGGCCCCCCTGAATATGGGTCTCAGCCAGAAGGACTGAGCAGTCTACGGCACCTCAGACAGTGGAGCCAGGATGTATCCCTGGTGCACAAAAGGACTTTGCCAACACATCCCCCATGGAGGGATAACTGCCTTAACCTAGAGACAGGAGAGAAGCCCTAGTCCCTACTTCACATGACCTGTCAGATCTACATGACCCCAACTGGATGACATTCCCCTACATATGGAATTGGGGTGGGGGGATGGGAGGGGAGGGTGGTTAGGGTGCATGTGAGAGGGCAGAGAGGGTAAAAGGGAGGGAATGAAGGGGGGAGGTAGGGAGGGAGAGGGAACTGGGATCGACATGTAAAATAATAAATTAAATTTAAAAAAAGGAAGCCACATTTTCTGTAACCTCTCTGCTCACTTATGTCTCTGGTTTATTTTGAATGTGTTCTGCTGATATGATATGGGGATCTCTGCAACCTTCACAGGTCTTTTGGAAACAAGCAGTCAGTTCAGATCAACATAACTCAGTTTCAAGTGTTGTTTCAATTGTGTGGAGTCTGACTCTTAGTAGTTCATTTTAGACATACATAAGCACAACATCATTTGATGAACATTATTCTGGTGATAATTAACTATCATGTGTAGAGAACAAATCATACATAATCTCCTTGAGGAACAAAGTAAGCTAAATACAGATCAGATGTAACTATATCAAAACTCTTTGTAAAGTCCGTATAAAGATAGATTCTATAGATTGACTGAGAAAAACAAATTTATGATGAGAGTTTGGGTTAGTATATAGTGCTGGAAAAGTCTCTACCCACACTGATAGAGCAAAGGTCACCAAGTTAATAAGTATTGCCACTCCTGGCCATCTGGGAAGATTCCTTTCCTTGAAGGAACAACTCCATATGCTTAACATTTCAGGTTCCCCTAGGGCTTATCTGTGAGCAGAAAGACCCCTGTGCCCCTGTGTATATAGGAAGAACCAAAATAGTGTGCATATACAGCTTTTAATATAACCAGGTCACAGCCACATTGAAAGTAAAATAGAGGAAGGAGAAGAAATAGACTTAAGTTTGCAGCAACAAAACCCAAGATTCCCACAATAGGTCAGGAACTTCAAACCATCATTATCTAACCATGGTCCGGTTTCTCAAAGAATTCATGGTGGCCAGATTGACCTAAGTTTTGCACTAAAGATATTTGGCTTTTATAGCAGGACATCTTTGTATCCACTGTGAGATTTCTTCTTTTTAAATAATAATCATCGTATGTGGACATGCACATGTCACAGATTGCATTTGGAGGTTAGAAGACAAGTTTTTAAAGTTGATTCTCTTTCCACTTTTATGTAGAGCCTGAGGATAGAACTCAGGTCACCAGGCCTTGAAAACCACATTTACCCCATTGAACAATCTTAACAGCCAAGTATGGGAGCCAAAGTTACATTTTAAGTTTTAATTACTATGCCCAGGAGATCAATTTGTAAACCAAAAATGTCTGATCTGCAAGACTCTTGCTCAAGGACATATAGTTCTTGAGATTTCTGGAGGCTGTTGTTTATGGAAGATAACAAGCCACCTGTTGTTTTACTCCCTTTAACAAGGACTGGATATGCTTGATCACATTGTGGGTAGGAGGGTCACAGGCCAATTCAAGTTTTGCAGCAGGTCCAATCAAGGGCAGACATACATCCTGATGTACCTCCACCCTAAACCCAATCAGGGGCAAGCATATATTCTGATGTATTTCCTGCCTCTGACCCTGGATGGACCTGGCCAGAGCCCATCCACCTGGCTAGTATTTAATTAAAACTTGCTTCAAATTTGGCTTTAAGTTGTGGTAGTAGTCTTATTCTCAATAAGCGGGAAAAACACAAGGATCTGGGATTTCTTTTTTTTAATGAATATTTTGATTTTTTATTACATTACTCATTTTTTCACTTATTATGTCTATTTGTATTATCTCTTTGAAAATTATTTTGTCTTACATTTTAATGAAGACATAAGTATTGTACATATTCATAGGGAACAGCAAGTTAAGTGAATAAAATGTAAAATATGTAATGATCTCTTCAGGGTAAGATTTTCTTTAAACAAAAATTCAAAAAGAAAGAAAGAAAGAAAGAGAAAGAAAGAGAGAAAGAAAGGAAGAAAGAAGGAAAGAAAGAAAGAAAGAAAGAAAGAAAGAAAGAAAGAAAGAAAGAAAGAAAGAAAATCTTACCCTGGGGATTTCTTTTTAAACAGCTTCTTTGTTTTTTATTAATTCTATCTTTCAGTGTGTGTGTGTGTGTGTGTGTGTGTGTGTGTGTGTGTGTGTGTGTGCATGCACGCGCGCACACCAAGGCACACACATAGATGTCAGGTGACAACATTGTAAAGTGTATTCAGCTTTTCACCATGTGGGTTCCTGATTATCAAGATTTTGGGCAGGTACCTTTATCCACTCAGCAATTTCATCTGTCCAGGATTTGTTCCTTAAACATTTTTTATGGATCTCATAAATTATAGTAGCTATTTGGGTCATGACTTTGAAAATAAATTTTATTTATACAAAGACTTATCAACATGTTAAAGAGATATTGGATAGTGGATTCCTGTAGTTTGGAATGTGGTCATTGTTCTGATTCTGCCATCTAAGCCCTGGTATCCATGGAAACACAAGAATGTTTACAGTTCTTTATCTTTCGTATGGTTGAAAGTCACTAACCTTTGGACTTACTAGAAAAGACAAAGAGGCAAGTATTTTAGATCTTCCAGGAGGTTCTTATTAATCACATTCATTTGCCAGGAAGGGCCATTGACATGTGATTAAGTTTGTGAATATCATAAGTGCCTGGAAGTCACATGTGTGACTACAGGGAATCAGGGAGCTACACTTGCTGTCTGTGTAACTCCCTGAAGATGACTGTGTGAATTTGCCTCTCTGCATTGTTTCCTTATGTACAAAATGGGGATAATGATTGGATGGGTATTGTTGGAGGGACAGGAATACAAATGGGCTAATACTCCTTAAGTGTTTAAATGACTTTCCAGACAATCCAAAGTTTGTGAAAATCTATTAGCCAGCCTTATTCTGAACTGAAATATCTGCTCATGTACTTCTTTTATTCAGAATACTTCATGTGATGCCCTATATGATCAACATTTCCTGCTCCTTTGTAGTGCATTTGTAATTCTGCCTCTTTCAAAATGGAACATGTCACCTTCAAAATAATAAGGTAAAAATTTAAACTAAGTTGTATGGAGGCTTTCCAATTGGGTCTTTAAAAAATAAATACTTCCAGTCCTTGAGTTTCTGATACAAGCATAATAATCTGCAGAGCTAGCTCATTTATTTGACACAACAGCATTTTCCACTCTTGTTTTCAGTTCTGTTTCAAAGCACACTGCCTCAGACCTGCCTTGTCAAGGAAGAGGGGATTGGCAGGGTGTTACCCAAGCCACCATCAATCGAAAGACCTGTATTGCTGATGTAACTTCCCTAGTAGAACAGCTATACTGTCTCCACCCAGTTAGGAAGCACATTCTACAGAGAATGTGAAACAGAGGGTAGCTGGTAGGGAAGGTTTCCTGGCAAGTAGATTCAGTTTGTGGGTCCATCAAACATTCTGCATGAACAGTGGCAATGTCAATGTCATTATGTGCCTAACGATTAATGGACTTTTCTTTCCTTTTTACTAAATGAATCAGTGGGATCCCTCAGTGTGATTTTTTCTCGTTTTCATTATTGCTATATCCAAAGATTTGAATTGACAGAAGATCCAAATAAGTTGTTTCATAGTGTTAATGTGCAGTGTAAGTTTCATCTCAAAGAATATATTTGCTCACCCAAAATGCCTCAGTATATTTTATATATTGCACCTAATTATCTCAAGAAGGAATGTAGCATAAGGAATAGCTACAAAATGAACATGCTTTGTTCTTCATCTTCTACATACAGATTTTAGTTTTGTGGGAGTAGGGGATGAACTCAGTGCTTCACGAACATGTTAACTACAATACCCGCAAGCTATATCACCATCCAGTTACAAATAAATGTTTAAGGTTTGTGTTCATCTGGTTTAAATTATAAAATATCATGCATAAGTTTCTTTAGAAATGTGCACATTCTAGGAAAACGTGCAAATATGAATAACAGTTTCTATTCCACCAATTCATCTGCTTATATTTTCTATTTTTGTGCAAGTTTTATATTCTTATCTTCTTGGATATTTAAAGAAGTCAAATATTTTTCCCTTGGACATAAATGGGCATTTTATGTGTATTAGTTTTCATTTTGCCTGTTTCTTCTAAGAACATTTCACAAGTTGAAATGTTCACATGTTTTGACTAGGAATTTCATTTCTTGCAATTAGTGGATAAGAGGTTACAATATCATATATAAAGTTATATTTATTTTATTACTGTTTTCAAAAGAGAAAAACATATTAGTAATGCAAATGATTGTAGAAAGCAGAGGAATGCTCAGTTTAATTGTGACTTCTCCATAGTGTAGTAGAATATCACATGACCATTAATTACAAAGAGTGGATTAATGTGTGTATGATTTTTTTCCTTTTTTTCTCTTTTTTAATATTTATTTTTCACATTCCAATCCCAGCCCTCCATTTGACACTGAGCTCAGAGAGCTATCTGAACATAGTGGACTGCAATCTTAAGTTCAGGGTACTCTTAACAAAAGTTATTGCCAAATTGTTGTCTAAAACATCTTATATTTGACTAGTGACTAAACACTTGACTGTTCTTCCAGAGGACACCTATTCCATTCTCACCACCTACATGACAGCTTACAACTATGTAGAACTCCAGTTCCAAAGGATATAATGTCCTCTTCCAACCTCCACACATAATGGGGCACCAAGCATGGAAGTGGTGCACAGATATACATGCAGGCAAATAATAGAATAATTTTCAAACATAATAATGGCTTCTCCTACCATAGTCATGGATTCCCAGGTGCTTTTTATTCTTTTAGTAAGATTTGCTTTAGTTTTGATTATGTGTCTCTATGTTTGTGGGTGGATATGGATGTACAAGTGCAGGTTCTTATAAGAGGGCATCAGATCCCTTATGGTTATAAGCAATTGTAAGCTACCCAAAGTGAGTGCTGGAAACTGAAGTTGGGTCATAATCAAGAACAATATACTCTTAACCCTTGAACTGTCTCTCTGGTCCTTCCTTTACTCTTATCTACAATATATGGATTATTTAAACCCAATTTTTAGATGCAAGGGCAAGGTGTGAGTAATTAGTAATTGGTAAACCATATCTCATTCTATTTTCCTGACTGTTCTTCTGTTCCTGATTTGACTCTATATTCTTAGTTGACTCTATATTCTTAGTCAACAAATAGCATTTGAAAGACAATGAGAAATTATTGTCTAAAATATCTTGAGATGGGAACTCCTGCCACAGTCATAGATTTCAATATTTCTTATACATACTTGACTTTTGTGTAGAATAAGTATATAGACTGCTTTAATACAAGTATGTGACAACAGGGACAAGGTGTGAGAATTTACTACTTTGTAAACCACGACTCTATATTTTTTTCAATCTCATCTCCAGATTTCCTGAGGGGAAAGAATGGTTCTTCAGACTGACTGGCTTCCTTTGTAGCCTCTTGTCCTTGGTATTTGGAATAATCCTTGTAAGCAGCCAATACTGGCGCCTCTGGGAATTCGACAATAAAGCTGTTCAGCTTGTGTACATCGGACTCTGGGAAGCTTGTTACTATCAGGAGTTTAACATCTCTTGCTCTGTGACCAGGGTTCTGGTGCACAGCCCTATCAACGCAAGCTGGACCGTTTCAACTGAATTTCAGTATGCGCAGAACCTGATCTTACTGGCGATTTTGATAAAACCTGTTGTCCTGGTTTTCAGTTCAGTGGCCATTAGAATGAGCATCACCAAAGCCTCAGTCCCAGAGATTCAGCTGCTCTGCAACAAATGTTGTGTCTTAGTCATGGCTCTCAGCAGCCTTTGTACGGTTCTGTCTGTCACCTGGAACCATGTAGTAGATCTTTATGGTGAAACTACTTTTGACTTTCCACCCACCTTTCCTGTTAGAAAAGAAGCTCTGATAAAGAAACACCACACTCATGTGTTCCCTATTGGGGTCGTGACAGCCATCCTGTCACTCATTGCTATGTTTATGTTCCTCTTTGAGGTCAAGTCATTGAAAATACAGAGTTATCTGAAGGCCTGGCATGTATCCCAGCAGGAGGAACAAAAGGTCTGAAGTATGAGCTCTGGCACTTCCAATATCTGCCAGGAGAATCCTTGAAGATATTACCCATTTACACACAATACTCATGTAGTCATCAACTCACTCCAAATAAAGCATCAACCTGGTTTCTGAGTATCTGTCCAAAATATGTATCCTCTGTGTTGTTGTTTGTACACTGAATATGTGTCATTCTGATTGGTTTAATAAATAGCCAAATCCAAAATAGCTAGGCAGGATTTTTCAGGCACACAGGATTCTGAGAAGGAGGAGGAAGGGGACTCACCAGCCAGATGGAGAAGAAGCAGAATGGCCTTAGAAAGTAAAGGAAACTGAGCTACATATAAGAACATAGATTTACAGATATGGGTTAATTTAAGTTAGAAGAGCTAGTTAGAAACAAGCCTAAGCTATCAATAGACCAAGCTTTCATACTTAATAATAAGTCTCTGTGTCATTATTGGGAATCCAGAGGTCCCAATGAAAAGGTTTGACTACAAATAGTGACAAGTGTGGAGCAGCTGTTTCCACATAAGACCTTAAAAAGCCTAGAGAGGCCTCAGCTGGAGAGTGCCAGGCCCAGCTAGATCCACCTATTCATGCACACAGGAACATCCTGAGTCCCAGGCTGCAGGATCATTGACCCCCATTACCGGGCCTCTGCTAGAGGTGAGTCTGGGACCAATTCTGGTTGAATCCCCCCACACCCTTCCCTGGGAACTCCCTGGATTGGCCCCGGATCTCGCTCCCCCCTGTGTCCTGTTCCCAGCAAGAGCACTCCTGATGCCCTGACATACAACCACCCACCCCCACCAAGAGCCTGCCCTCCCCCTACCCTGTGCCCTGCCATGCCCACTGTCCCACCACTCTGGTTGAGCACTGGGACAGAGGGCAGATCCAACAATCCTGCCACCTTTGGGGAACATTCTGGAGCTGTTCTGAGCACACAAGACCTGCCTATCCAAGCAGAACCAACCTGAATCTGCCCTGCCTGCTGGATCTTTGACACCCATCGCTGGGCCTCTGCTGGAGCCTGATCTTTTATGCCCATCACCGGGCCCCTGCCTGAGGAGATACCTCCTAGAGAGCTTGGACCACCCAGAGCTACATCGAACTTCTAAACCACCTAAGCCCATCGGGGGAGTATCAGAGAGACCCCACCTGCACCTACTAGAAGGAGCCATGGGAAAAAGGCAATACAAGAAAACACCTAACGATAGAAAAACAAGCATGACACCACCAGAATCTAGGGACGCTACACCAACTAGACCAGAACATTCCAAAGCAGATGAACCAGAAGACAACGACTTAAAAATATCTTCATAAAAATGACAGAGGCCCTCAAAAACAATGTGAGAAAATCCCTTAAAGAAACGGAAGACAAAACAAACAAAAATTGGAAGAAATGAACAAAAGACAGTACAGAAAGCCAAGAAAAAACAATTAAACAGGTGAAGGAAATGGTTCAACACTTGAAAACTGAAATAGAGACAATAAAGAAAAGACAAACTAAAGGAATTCTGGAAATTAAAAAAACTGGGAAAATGATCAGGAACTACAGACTCGAGCATAACCAACAGAATACAAGAGATAGAAGAGAGAATCTCAGGCGCTGAAGGTAAACTAGAGGAAATAGATTCATCGACCAAAGAAAATTGTAAATCCAACAAATCCTTACACAAAACATCCAGGAAATGTGGGACACCATGAAAAGGCCAAACCTAAGAATAAAGGCATAGAGTAGGGTGAAGAAGGCCAACTCAAAGATGCAGAAAACATATCTAAAAAAAATCATAGAAGAAAACTTTCCCATGGAAATACAAAAGCATACCGAATACCAAATAGACTGGACCAAAGAAAAAAGACCCGTAAACACATAATAAACAAAACCCTTAACATACAGAACAAAGAAAGAATATTAAGAGCAGCAAAGGAAACAGGACAGGTAACATATAAAGGCAGACCTATTAAAATTATACCTGACTACTCCATGGAAACCCTCAAGGCCAGAAGGTCCTGGATAGATGTTCTACAAGTACTAAGAGTCCACGGATGCCAACACAGGCTACTATACCCAGAAAAACTCTCAATCACTATAGACAGAGAAAACAAGATATTTAATGACATAGCCAGATTTTCCCAATATGTATCTACAAATCCAGCCCTACAGAAAGTATTGGAAGGAAAACTCCAACCCAAGAAAGTTAATTATGCTCACAAAGACATAGGAAATAGATAATCCCACTTCACCAGAACACAAGGGTAAAGCAGGGCAAATATATGCAAAATACCACTGCCAACAACAAATCTAATACAAGCAAGAATTAACAACCAATGGTCCTTAATTTCAAGCAACATTAATGGTATTAACTCACCTATAAAAAGACAAGGTCTAACAGAATGGATACGAAGGCAGAATCCATCCTTCTGCTACATACTAGAAACACATCTAAGCTTCAAAGGTAGACATTAACTCAGGGTAGGGGCTGTGAAAAGATCTTCCAATCAAATGGACCCAATAAGCAACCAGGTGTGGCTGTCCTAATATCTAACTTGTTAGACTTCAAACCAAAATTAATCAAAAGAGATGAAGACGGTCGTTTCTTATCCATCACAGGAAAAACCCATCATCACAAAGTCTTAATTCTGAACATCTATGCCCCAAATACAAAGGCACACACATTCGTAAAAGAAACACTACTAAAACTCAAAGCTCACATAAAACTGCACACACAAAGTAGTGGGAGATTTCAACACCCTACTCTTACTGATAGACAGGACCACCAGTCATAAACGTAACCAAGAAACAAAAGAAATAACAGAAGTTATGTCTCAGTTGGGTTTAACAGACATGTATAGAACATTCCATCCAAACAGAAAAGAATATACCTTCTTCTCTGCTCCACATGGAAACGTCTCTAAAATCGACCACATACTAGGCAACATAACAAACCACAACAGATACAAAAGAATTGGAATACTCCCCTGTATCTTATCAGACCACTATGCTTTAAAGTTGGAATCCAACAACAACACAAATCTAAGAAATCCTACAAACTCATGGAAACTGAACAATGTGCAATTACACCATACCCTGGTGAAAGAAGAAATAAAAAAGAAATTAAGGACTTCCTAAAATGGAAACATAAGCAGACACTCACAGCTAAACACTGAGCTAAACTGGAATCCAGATGTAGAGAGGTAGGACATGAACAGGCTGCAGAAATACATAGAGACTGCTGACCTGAACAAGAGGAGCTAATGGGCCCCCAGACTGATAGCTGGGAATCCAGGACGGGACTGACTCAGACCCCCTGAACATGGGTCTCAGCTAGAAGGCCGGGAAGTTTAAGGGACCTCAGACAGTGGAACCAGGATGTATCCTGGTGCACAACAGGACTGTAGGAGCGCATTCCCCCATGGAGGGATACTCCCTTAACCTAGAGACAGGACAGAAGGCCTAGTCCCTACTCTAAATGACTTGAAAGATTTAGATGACCCCTCTATGAGGGCATCACCCTACATGTGGAGTGGGGGGAGGGGAGGGTGGTAGGGGCATGAGATGGTGGGAGAGGGTGAAAGAGGGAGGGAGGAAGGGAGGGAGGGAGTTGGAACTGGGATCGATATGTAAAATAAAAATAAAAAACATATATGTATATATACATATACATATATATCCAAAATAATAGTAATGTATAGTAATGATGATAATAGTAATAGAAATAAATGCAATTAATTTTTTAAAAAGACCTTAAGAAGCTTTAGAAAAATGGAGCCAAACATAGTCCTGCAGTCTCTCATGTGGGATATGGTACAAAGATGTGTCTTCCAGATGCAGCATGCAGATATAGAGCCACCAGCACTCCGTGAGATAAGCTGCAGTGGTTTTTCACTCATACAGACAGAATAGATTGCAGATACACAGTAAAGCAGGTTCCGATGGAAAAATCCTCTAAATAGGTTACAGTGTGTTTAACAATGTGGGTAGGCATAAGAAAAAAAGAAAGAAAGAAAAGAGGTAAAGACAACCATAAATAGTTTAAAAATAAAGTCTTTAAAGAAAGTAAAAGAATAATAAAAAATAAGCCATATGGAGATGGCAAATACACAGAGTATGGATTCTGTATGTTATTGTGTCATCTTTGAATTTTTTTTTGATTACTGATAAGTAAACAACAGCTACTAAATGACATGGGATTGTAAAAGAGACTGCTGAAATAAACCAACCTAGAAACCTTAAAAAGTCAAAAATATGTTACATTGGGGAAGAGGTTATGCTTTTGTTTCCACATAATGGAAGGCTGTGGATTCATTCAAGGTTGATGGAAATCATATTTGATCAGGGAAGATCACTAAAAATGCTGACTAAAGACAAGAAGGAGAAAGGAGGAGAAGGAGGGTAGGGGAGGAGGAAGAAGATGGAGAAGGAGGGGAGAAGAAGGAGTCACTATTCAGACATAGACAAAGCAGGAAAGCAACATGGGTAAAGGTAAAGCCACAAGGCAAAAAGTAAATTAATGGAACTGGGTTAATTTAAGAGCTAGTTAGAAACAATCCTAAGCTATTGGTTAAGATTTCATAATTATTAAGAAGTCTCCATGTAATTATTTGGGATCTGGCATGCAGGACAAAAAAGTCCATCTATACCTCTGCCTGTCAGCTGCAGTCCTTTCTTTAAATGTTTTCACATCCTAAAGCATGCAGGTCATTATTATGTGTTCAGATAATGACAATAAACATTAGCAGGCAAGAGTAACAGTGAAATGCAAGTTGCTTAAATATACAAGACAAATACAAGGTGAAAGGTTTGCAACTAAGCTAGCACCTCAACACAGAAAAGTCACCAGACTCCTTTGTGTAGACTCTTAAGTGTTCATATCTCTGAAGTGTAGAGCTGGAAATCTTACTTAGTGCCCATGTCAGATGAGGATGTCAGATCTTCTGAAACTGGAGTTACAGATGGTTGTAAGCCATCATATGAGTGCTGGGAACTGATCCACTGTCCTATGCAAGAA